CTCGGAGCGTACACTCAGAATGAATGCGATATCCGACCGGATCAGCAAAAACTGCGCTTCAAGGGTCATCCGGTACCGACCTGCTTTGCAGAAAGACTACCTCTTATACACTATGGCATAAAAAGAGATTCAACTTTGGGTATTATATGGCGAAATCCCAAAATGAGTGCCAACTTCACCAACGAGAACTAAGACAGAATTATGTCAACATTTTCACTAAGGTATACAAGAATAAACAAGACTCGTAATGTTCATGTTTGAAGGGTCTTGAATGAGTTGCGAAGGTTCTTCATATACTTTTTCCATTCGAGCGTCTTCTGAATTCGGAAAAGAGCATTGAGTGCAAAAAATTAGTCGGTTCTCGAGCTAGTTAAATACTGGACAGGGATTTCCGGAATGCAAATCCCGACCAGAAGGTTGTGTACGGGTACGACGTTGTCCGGTACGAATACGAGTAGAGCAGTTACGGACACGGGTTCTGCTCTTTTTTAATTTACCCGAAAACCAGAAGGTTTTAGTAAAACAATCACAAAATTTTGGTGAAAAAATATAGAAGTTCAGCTAAAATACATGAAGGTTTAAAAAAGAATTACTTGAGGAAGTAATGATAATTTGACATCTTCACCCGAAAAACAAAAGTTTTTAACTGGAAAACAAAAAGGACAAAGTTTTTAGGCATAAGTCGAATACGGCTGGAAGAAAATTTTCGGATCCAGTATGGGTACGAAAATGGTACCCGTGCACATCTCTAATACTTAGTCTTTATGAAACGAAACGTTGTGTATCAGGCGATGAATGAATGAAAGGAGGAGAAACGAGAAAAAGGTTAAGTCGGCTTTATTAATACGAAACCTGCAGTCTTTTTTGCAAAGTAAGCTTTTTTTGATTCTTTTCATGCGTCTAGTGAGAGCTAGTTATGTATATTTTCTAGCTGCTCTTATGATATTTTTTATGGTTACTTTACGCCGAAAAACTCTCTTTTCACTTTCGAAAATATTTCTCTCTCCTTCAGTAATGAAAAGTTTTTCAAATATATGCGAATGAATCACATACACAAGTATTTTTCGTTCTCCGCGTAGAACAATGTGCACTTCATTTAGGTAAATAAAAGATAAAAACTAAGACTCTTCACCATTAGGTACGACATCGAAACCAAAGATTCTGCTATGTATTCTACTTTATAATCAGCGGTTATGAAAATATCCTCGCCTAGTGTTAACACTCCCACTGACTTCTATTTTGCCTGTCGAAATGGTGACATTGATGGAGTGATAGAGCAGCTAGAAGCTCTGACAATAGATGATGTTAACCGTGTGCAACCAAATGGAAGCACTCCTCTACATGCTGCCTGTTACTTTGGTCACTATCAAGTTGTCAAACTGCTGCTAGACTTCGGTGCGAGTCGATCAGTTCTGAATAAACATGGATGTGTGCCGTATGATGAAGCAAAAGCTAGTGAATTAAAGCAGTTGTTCATGCGGGAAAATTCATCCAGGAGATTTGTTGATGGGATGAGCTCAAGCGGTCTCACGGAATGGATGAGGGTGAGCCCGAATATCAATGATGACGCAATATGTCGACGTGTAGCCTTAAAATATTGTTGGGACGATTCTGATACTCAGCGATATCTTCCACGTATACAGAAAGAGTATATAGATTTCCACTTTACTAACAGTATTCATCACGATGAAATTCAATACTATCTTCGGAATGCTATCAAGGAAGATAACCCCATTTATTTGTTGAAAGCGTACACAGCTGAGACAGATTTCTACAAACGACTCAACAGAGACTTGGCTGAAGACATCTGGCTAAAATATGGATCTATGAAGAGTCTGGAACGGATTATAGAAATTGTATACAATCATTCATCGCTGAATCAATTTGTATTCAAAGGGAAAACATATCGTGGAATGAAAATAACCAAAGATGATTTAGAACAGTACTCAACTGGCACACGTCTCCTCAACAAAAGTTTCCTTTCAACATCGAAAGATCGTCGAATCGCTGACCGTTTTGCATTAATGGAAGGGGTACGGAAGACAGAAGATGGAGAGAACATAAAACACTCGGCCGTCTGCATCTATGAAACACGTAAAGATCGATCGGCTCTAGATATTGAATCTATCAGTGAATATCCTCAAGAAAAAGAAGTGTTGATTATGCCATTCACACCGTTCAAAGTCATGAAGATTACCCACAGCAGAGCGAGTGCGAGTGGCATACCTGAATTTGAAATCGAACTGAGAGAATGCAAATCTCTTTGGATAAAAGAAAAATGGGAACAGTATAAATTTGCCGCAGTTGACGAATGAAGTAGAGTATTGTCATAAAGTCAATGATTGTTCATCCGGATTTTAACAGGGATTTTTGACTGAAATTTTAAAATTTGAAATTATCAACAGATGAAATTGTCTAAGCACTATTTTTATAGGTTGTCAATGATTCTCTGTCCAATACAATTGTTCTTGGATTTCTTAAAGGCTTTATAAGTGGTTTTCTAGAGATCCGGTCTCCACAAAAAAATAATCTTTAGGTCTGACAATGGTTCTATCAGCACCGAAAATGATCTACAACTATGTATGTTCCAACGCAAAAGTGATTTGACACTTGGGATACTTTCCTCGTCAGGTAAGGCGAGGTACCAACAAACAGAATGACACGAATATTTGAGAATTCGTGTAGTCCAGCATAAGAAATGCATGAATCAAACACCTTAGAACATAAGCTAACAACATTCAAAACTATCATATATTATTTTTTAATCGTTTAACACTATGGCTGAACACGGGAGAATCCACTATGGCGACAAAACTCACTTTGTCGTTGAACTGACTGCTTAATTGAGTCATTTTTTCTTCTTCTGAGTAACTTAATAGCGTTTCTTTATCTATTATTAGAGAGAAACATTGCAATTACTTATGGCGTTGTAGCCAAGAACTGGACAAACCTTCTGTGATGCTATCTATTATGTTAGGAAGTATGAAATCCCATATCAACTGTGGTCATCTTTCAATACACATATTCGTCTCTTCACTCGATGGTTATTTTCCCTTTCTCTTCTTCTGTTATATGTATTCACTCTTCTGCTTTTGTATGACGTATGTTTTCTCTTTCTGTTCAC